TTTGGAAGTTTAGGGGTTTAGGGTTTGAATAGGGTGGCGTGTTTGGCTTATATATGTCTTTGTGCATATGCCTGCACTCTGAGGTGCGGCCATCATGATCATCGTTACCTGGCAGCAACTATCCCTTGCTCGCCGGATGGTCGTTCAGAGCTCGAAGGATACACCAATTCTTTGGGATGTGCTGCATTAGGTGTCCAGGCACCGCAGAGAGAGCGATGACGAGCTGGTCGTTTGCCTCTGCACCCGATGGGATCCCCTAAATCGTTGATTCTGCCGAGTACAGGACCAAACCCTAAACAGCTCAACCCTGAGCCTGTATTGAAGGTTTGGCAGCAGTAATGGGCTGCAAAATGTACGCGCTTCCAACAATCGAGAGTCTTTGGCCTAGGGGGGTTTTAGCCCAAAGTAAGACGGAGGCAGATTGGCGTTGGCTCCGGGGCTGGTTCTGGGTCGAGAGGGGGTGGGGTTGAGCACTTCCTGGATGTTCATCGCGCCGGCCCGCTGTTGGGGACACTGCATGGGTTTATTCGCATAGTGGCACAGTTCCCCCTTTAACTGCTAGTTGAGTGTTTAGGTTGCAATACCAAATATACCCGAACCCTAGACCCTGATGTGCCGAAAAACTTCCAACAAGAGATGCTGGACTTCAGCTTATCGGACGTAAAGAGCCACTTTCAGTTCACACAAACATAAACTAATACATTGTAGCTATGAAGTGTTCCGGGAGACGGGGAAGCTCAGGTGAACCACCTGTGGGCCTTGGCAGCCTGCTTGGTAGCAGGATGCCACTTGGATCTACCTTGTCGTCCAACGGCTCCTGTTTTCAGTCGTTTGCATTTGCTATGCATTTGCTAAAGAATAGCATGCTGTGAAAATAGCAGTATTGTATGTCATGCATTGATATGGTATGCCCATGTTCCCAGAGGCCTCTACTTGTTTGTCAACTGGAAAGTGGAGGCCCGCTGCATGGGTGCGGGGTGGTCGGGACGAGAACCAACGGCGGCATCCGGACTTCGGGGTCCGGGATTTGGGGGGTGCGGAGGTCGCAGCAGATCCCCGAAGCCCGAAGCTTCAAAGCTCTGAAGCCCGAAGCCTCCCTAAGGCCCCCCGAAGCACCCTAAACCCTAACCCTAAGCCC